CATTCATCAGATGTTAGTTCTGGAGGGAAGTTTGATATAATATTTACTACTAAGTGTATTCCCAAATATCAAGGCTAGCTCTTTCAAAAATGTTTTATTGATTTTGTAGAGAGGAAGGAGAGGGGAAGAGTGAGAGAGAAACATCAATGATGAAAGAGGATCATCCATCATCTGCCTCCTGCATGGGCCCTACTGGGGACCGAATCTGCAACCCAGGCATGTGCCCTGACCAGGAATCGAACTGTGACCTCCTAGATCATGGGTCCACACTCAAACACAGAGCCACCCCTACCGGGCAAGGCGAAGCTCTTATTAAAATAGTATATCAAAAGCCTTTAACATTTTCATATAGTGCAGTTTGATTACTGTACTTTTTGTGATAGATATTAGCTGGCATCCTCCTAGTTTTTCTTTTAATGGGAAGTCAATTCTTTTTCTTCTGTAACAAGACAAGAAGTATTTTAAGTTTATCTGATGCAGAGTGTTATTAAAATGTGAAAGAGCATACTGGCTGCCCTGGCCGATTTGGCTCAGTGGACTGAAGGGCCCAGATTTGATTCAGGTCAAGGATGTATGCCTTGGTTGCACGCTCAAGCTTGCAGGCTCGAGCATATGGGAGGCAGCCAATCGATGTGTGTCTCTCTCACATTGATGTTTCTCTCTCTGTCTCTCCCCTCTCATTTGCTCTCTCTGAAAAATAAAAAAGCAATGGAAAAATATCCTTCGGTGAGGATTAACAAAAACAAAACCAAAAAAGAGCATACAGGCATTTTTTTTCCCAGTTAATTCTCCTCTCTTGTATTATGTTTTTAATTTTGCCTCCTTCTGTCTTGTATTTTAAAATTTTGGAACCTATTGATATATACTTTAGGTGCATTTCACTGTCTTGTGGGATTTTTTTTCAGGTGGAACTGAGAAATGGAGTGGTGTAGCTTCTGTCACCACTAAAAGCAGAGCAGCTAAGTCCCCTGTGCCCTCCCGAAAAGAATGCCCGAACATAGAACCAGTCCTGTAGTACTTTACATGCTCTTTGATAGTGTCTTTTTTGGGAACACCCTCTACCCTCCCTAAATATTATGCAGAAATATTTACTGCATATACATAGGGATTATATTACCCTTTCTTAATTATTTAAGTTTTAAAAATTTTTTTATTTTTAAAAAAATCTTTATTGTTGAGAGTATTACAGATGTCTCCCCTTTAACCCCTATTGCCCGGCTCCACCTGGTTCCTGTCACCCCCCCAGGTCTTCACCCTATTGCCTGTGTCCATAGGTAAGGCATATACGAATATAAGATCTTTAGTTAATCTCTTCCGCCCCCTTCCCTCTGAGATTCGTCAGTCTGTTCCATGTTTCCATGCCTCTGGTTCTATTTATTCATCAGTTGATTTTGTTCATTAGAATCCTTGTTCATTTATTTTGATTTTTAGATTCAGTTGTTGATATGTATTTATTGCCATTTTATTGTACACATTTTTCTTTTTTTCCTCTTCCTCCTCCTTCTCCTCCTTTTCTTCCTCCTCCTCCTCCTTTTTCTTTCTTCTTTTTCCTCTTCCTCCTCTTCCTCCCTTTCTCCACTCCCTCCCCGCCCCATCCTCCTTCTCTTCCTCTTCTTAAAGAATACCCCTTAACATTTCATGTAATACAGATTTGGTGGTGATGAACTCCTTTAGCTTTTTCTTGTCTGTGAAGCTCTTTATCTGACCTTCAATTCTAAATGATAGCTTTGCTGGGTAGAGTAATTTTGATTGTAGGTCCTTGCTATTCATCAGTTTGAGTATTTCTTGCCACTCCCTTCTGGCCAGCAAAGTTTCTGTTGAGAAATCAGCTGACTGTCGTATGGATGCTCCCTTGTAGGTAACTAACTGTGTTTCTCTTGCTGCTTTTAAGATGATCTCTTTGTCCTTAACCCTTGGCATTTTAATTATGCTGTGTCTTGGTGTGGTCCTCTTTGGGTTCCTCTTGTTTGGGGTTCTCTGTGCTTTCTGGACTTGTAGGTCTATTTCTTTCACCAGGTCGGGGAA